CATTTGATTAACCGAGATACTGGTTCTTTAACAAGTGGTAGGGTACCATCCTTCCTACGTTTAATTATCAAATCAAGGGATGGTAAAGTATTTTCTTGTTCATGTTGCAAACATAACGATATGCTCTTGTATGTGTGGTTCATGGCGGCTTGGAAATTACAAGCTTGCTGTTTGTCAGATGTTGTTATTAAAATCCACGTATCGGTACTTGGGCAGACCATTTGAATAATCGATGCGGGGCCGAGTTCAGCGTTTAAACAGTTTGCCTTAATTAAATGTATCCAGCCAGTGTGCATTGCTGAGAAGAGCTAGTGTTGATGCTTCATTTATAGCGATTCGCCAGGACTGTTAATCCCCTTCTGTCCATTCTTTTCGTCATTGGCTTTTTTTTTTTTTTTTCTATTCTCGCTTGGTCCATACAACATTGCTGAATTGGGTATGCTATCTGTTGGTAGCCATGTTTAATGGCCGAATCATTTCTTTAGTTATCTAAATAAATCTAACGCTGCCTTCATCATTATACTTTTATTTTTATTTTTTTTTAAATATTTGTACACACTGGTGTACTGAACCATATTAAGTGGTATTAGTATTTTAATGACATATTGTAAGTAAGATTGTTTAAATATGCATAGTGCAATTAGTATTTTAATCGCAACCCAAAAATGTGTAAATAAAGTAATATCTAAAACAATACAATGTGCATTTGTGTGTTTAATAAGTAAATATATCACATTGAATAAATAACTAATAAAAAATATGAAAATTTAATGAACACTTTATATCTTAATTTTAACCCTGAAAGATAAAAAAAAAATTTTTTATCAAATTGTTCCTACTTTCATAGTACTATATTTCTTGGAAACAGAAAGAAAACGTTAGAAATAAAAAGTTCATGTGTGGCTTCTGAGGCCCCGTTATAGGGAAAACAAGAATAAACCAGCTGCCTTCACAACAAACATGTCGTAGGGACCTCCTAATTGGGGACCTCCTTCGAAGTCAGTGTACACCTGCCCGAGCGACAAGGAACAACCAACTGCACACAAATAAGCTAGTAGAACTGATGTACACACAACAAAACTCATGCCTTTGTCACAAAGCCAAATTATAAATGGACGAACAACCAGGACTTGCAACAGGAGATTACAGCCGGTGAACAAAGAAGAAGAAGAAGAAGAAGAAAAAGAACAAGGAAAATCTCTCTCTCTATCTCTCTTTTTACCCTACCAGGACATCACACAAGCATGCCATCACTACATATTTTCTGAGGTCTTCTGCTTGCTTTGTACCCGTTGAATGTGGAATTCAAATGTTTTATTAGGAATAGACATCAAAGCACTCGGGACACTCTAATAAGTGCTCAGTCTCTATCTTCAGCAGCAAGCTAAGAGTTCCAATTCCTATTGTGTCAGTAATCGTCTGATTGTATATCCGTCTTGCCTCATCCTTCCTCTGAGTGTTAAGCGTTGGCCAGACCCCCTGGTAACTCCTCGCAGCGCCATTCTCCTCAGACAGTAATGAACCATCTGCGCCTCCGGACTGTTCACCCGTTCCCAAAGGGCCCTCACAATATCTAACTTGTCAAACATCAATTCACCACCAAATGGTACAGAACCGGCCAGTCTATCTGCCTGTGCATTTCGCAACACACTCGCTTGACATGGAGAAAATATCCACAGGATGCTAACTACCCGGGACCTCTGAAGTGATGCACGAAGCATGCCTGTTTTCACCTTTCTCAGCGTGCTCTTTGAGTCAGTTACAATCACGCCACTCGTGTACAGCTGATTCTCAAGCAAGCGGAAGGCTGCAGAGATGCCTCCACCTCAATTCTCAAATTAGTCAATGTGATATCCTTTGCAAGGCTGTGCTGCACTAGGCGACGTCCATTCGCCTTTGCTATGAAACCACATCCACTTCGTCTGCCCCTCAACACATAAAAGGTATTTTTTCAATACAGGAAATAACTGGTTACCCTAGTAGTGACTGCTTGTTAAGAAAGAGGCAGGCGATGTCCTAAAGGAGTTGTAACGTTTCAGTGTGGCTCGCTGTGGCAGATAGTATGTTTGCATTCTTTGTTAGGTGTCCAAACCACTCCATTTGGTATTCTTTGATGACCTGTAAGATTAGCTTTATTCTTAGCATTCGTCAGATTTCGTGATTTCGTATTCTGTCTTTCCTCGAAACTCCTGCAGCGCTTCTAAGGCATTTCATCCCTGTTGTCACAGAGTAACGTATGCAAGCCTGTATTGTATTCAATATAGAGATAGTGGACGACCTCGGAAAATATGAAGTGATGGCATTAGCAACAGCCTAACAGAAATAAACATCAGTCCTAATAGTGCTCTTGACAGAGCTCATCAACGAATGTTTCACCCCTCCCCCCCCCCTTCCCACCCCCCCCCCAAACACCCGACACTTCGCTGAGGTGTAAGGTGGAAAAGAAGAAGCAGAAAAAGAAGAAGTACGGGCTTTTGCAAATATCCTTTCGAACAAAGAAGACACAAACACTTTTATGCCAGGCAATAAATTGTGCAGTCTATTGTTTGTCTTCTTTGTTCAAATTCACATCGGGGAAATATTGCTTTGATTGTTTAAATATCCATTTGTCCAAAATATAGAAATTCCCGAAGTTGATGTACCGTGCAGCCTAACACCGGCAGTGGCCACAGAATGGCGCAGAGGGTGCTGGACCTTCTCCTGTTGACCCTATACGTTCTCTATAAGCACGTATCGAGCTCACATCTGGAGCTGATACAAGACGTCATTTCAAGACTTCTCTCATAGATATTCAAGATTCGAACATGACTTCAATGAGTTCGTAGTAGGTGACATCTTCTTTGTTATGAGTTGTGGTGGGGGGGGGGGAAAGGGGGGGGGAGACACAATTGTAGATTGTACTCTTATCTGTTGGAATAGCCATACGTTGCTAGGTTGGGGTAAGCTGATAGGAAACGCTATTGGCTGGGGAAAAACGTATGTGAAATCGAAATAATGTGGACACAAGCAAAACATTGCATGATTTATTGCCTGGCATATTTCGCTGGGTCTCGTCAGGTGCGTTACTACAGTTAAATCAACATATAATGAAGCAAACTGGAATCCTTTTCTTGCGTAAATGCGTAACCCACATTGAAGAGTTGCTTTACATCTATCTGTTGAAATCCAAAATGTGATTACCATGGTAACTTCAAATTGAAGTAAAATCACCTAAAGTCGACAGTGAAGGCTATGAACAAAGTTCAGTAAAATCACACAGAGTCAAACGAAAAGGTCATAAACAAAGTTTAATACAATCATACAGAGTCAACAGTGAAGGGTGTGATCAAAGTTCAGTAAAATCACCTAGACTCAACAGTGAAAGCTATGAGCAAAGTTTAGTAAATATACGTAGAGTCAACAGTGAAAGCTATGAGCAAAGTTTAGTAAACATACGTAGAGTCAACAGTGAAGACTATGAGCAAAGTTTAGTGAAAAAAAATATTTGAAGTCAACAGTGCAGTTGACGAGCAATGTTTAGTCAGATCATGTGTAGTAAACAGCGAAGGCTACGAATAAAGTTTGGTAAAATAAAAAACCAAAATGTACCCAGCTCCAATAAAGGAGACTGTGAACAAACACAGCACAATTAATTAGACAAAAGAAAGAAGACTAAGAACATACAACTTCGGTAGAATCACCAATGGACCGCGATGAAAAAGTAAAAGAAATTATTGTTAAACAAACTTTATTATTATTTGCTTCCCCTCCCTGACATTTTATGATACATATTTTAGACATAGTCGACCTTTGATGCCAGGTCGATTGAAAATCTATGTCGTTATGGTTTCGAACCCATGACAACGGGGCATGCATGCAAGAGTGCTAGCCACTGTCGTTTCTTGATGAGATAGCAGGAATGTAGGTCTGGATTGAGGCTTTTAGTGAGGACGCTCTGCTGGAGACTGTGTCCTGAGAGGACGGACGTTAATTCTTGACCCATTCATTCCTTCCTTTCTACTTTCATCATTGCTTCAAATTTTTCCCTCATTCCTTCATCTCATTTCATCTTTCATTTCGTATTACATTCTTACGTCATCATTTCCTTCCGTCTTTCCTATCTCCTTCTTTTATTAATTTTATCTTCTGTCCTCTTTCATTCCTTCAGAAATTCTTCACTTTTTAGCTTTCCTTCCTTTATTAATTCCTTCTCACTTCTCTTTCCTTCCTCCTCGCCACCCCCTCCTTTTTCTTCTTTTCTGCGTTCGCCTTTACAAGGCAGTCTGGCACATTGTGATGATGTTTACAGCATGGCTTTTGTATCTGCGTGTTCTAGCCCAATGTATTCCACCTTAGCAAACCTTTAAATTAGTTGCCTCTCATAAGATATCTGGTAACGGGCAATGGGTCTGCCCCAACCCTTCCCCACCTTATTTAGGCCCGTAACCCACACAGAGATGTCTGTTCCTTCTTTAGCTGCTTCTTCCTCTCTGGCTTCATCCCTTACTAGCTTCTCTACCTCAAGTTATCCTTCTTTAATTTTACCATCTTGACTAGCTTCCCTCGTCTCTTCCCTCCTTCCTCCTTTCATCCATTCATCAATTTATTGTTTAATTTTCTATTTTCGTTTTTCGTATTTTTATTCTGTCCGTCCTTCTTTCCTTCTTGCCTTCATTATTTCCTTCCTCTCTTTCTTCTTTGTTCCCACCCATGCGTCTACATTCCCTTTCTCCCTGTTTTCCTTTCTTCCTTCGTTACTTCCTTCCTTAAATTCCACCTTCCATTTTCTCTAACTTCCTTTCTTATTTGCGTCCTTAAATTGTGTTCCTTTCTTCACTTTTTTTTAAAATTTCTTTTCACTATCCTCTGAAATAATAAATTATAAAACACTGGGTTTTTTTTTTTTTTTAAAACGTACAGAGGTGTTACAGTCTCATCTGCTAGCGATTTGGACTTCATATTTCTTCTGTTGCACTGCGTATACTTGAGACTTACAAGGTAGGAAGATACGAACCACAGCC